ATATGGGCGTGTCCTTTGTTGTGACTGTATCAAACGGGTTCTATTAAAAAAAAGAAAGTGACCCTTCGTTGTGTGAGCCACAGTACAGATTGGTCACTTTAGCCATGAGTACATGGCCACGGCTGCCTGGGTGGTTTCCCTCAGAGTGTAGGCGCTGCTTTCAGGCTGGCAAGGCCGGTGGTGTCTCAATGCCGGTCCGCCAGGCTAGGGGCCAGCGCTTTGGAGGCTGGTATAGGGGCAGAAAATTCCTGCTGGAGAGAACTGTGGAGCTGCTATTGGTGTGGATGCAAGATTAATCCAACACAATACACAACATAACAAACACAGCAACAACTACAACACAATATGATAATGTATGAAATAAAACAGAGAAAAAAAACGAATAACAAAATTATGGTATTATTTGGATGATATATGCGCCTCGGCGTGGCCAGGCCACACCCAGGCCACGCCCACCTTCGAGAACCCTCGAGAAGGCTCTGCTTCTGGCCACGTGGCCTCCAAGGTCCCCCCCAGGGCCCCCGGCCCCCACCTTGATCCGGTCACGTGTCCGGCCGGGTTCATACAGATTGCCACGGCCTCACACAACCCCCGTGGTACAGACCGACGGCCTCCTGGCTCCCCGACCCGGCCGTGACGTCATTCCCACATCCACACGTAGTGACGTCATGTGTGTCTACAGACCCACACGGTAGTGACGTTACAAGTCACTACAAAAGTATTTATCTGGCAAGCTACTGTGTGTGTGGTTGTGTGTGTGTGAGAAACGTTTATTTATTTTCCTTCAGTAATCATTGCACTGTTTTCCCCTTGATGTGGCTTGTGTTAGCTGATGTGTGACAAGTAAAGTTTTAAATTTTGATTTAAAGCTTTCGTGACTGCAGTAATTCATATCTTGAATAAACACAAGATCCAGGTCTGTTTCAACACATTACATAAAATCCGTGATCTGGTTCCGTCTGCAAAAGATGTGATTCCGGACATACAGTACCCTGGTGTCTACAAACTAAGTTGTCTCTGTGGTAGAAGTTACATTGGAGAAACCAAACGCCATGTCTCGGACAGCATTCGTGAACACAAAGCAGACCTTAAACACGGTAGGACCAACACCTCGGCCGTGGCAGATCATTGTTCTAATTCAGTAGGCTCACATGACATTGACTTTTCCAAGACAGAGGTTCTTTGTAAGCCATCTGGCTTCCATGAGAGATTCGTTCATGAGGCTATCCACATATACAAGCACAGAGACAATTTCAACCGAGAAGATGTATTCTGGCTTAGCAATCATTGGAAAGATTTGATAAACCATTTCAGGTCTTAATTGATTGTTCACGCTTACAGTGGCTTTCAGACAGCATACATTAATTTTTCGTCTCCCCCCTCCTCTTTTCAGAACATGGATGGACTAGTCCTTCTAAATAAACTGGCAAATCGCTGCGCGTGGCGCAGACGGTTTTTTTTAAATAAATAAATAAATACACCTTTTAAAATAAATAAATTAATGCAAACCGAAACACCTGATGACGACCGTTTGTGTTATGGTCGAAACGTCGTGAGAATTTTTATTGTTTCATATATATTTTATTATTTTATTGTTTCCTTTCAACGTGACTTTACCGAAAGAGCTAAGAATATGAATTACTGCAGTCGCGAAAGCTTTAAATCAGTACTTTAGAGCAGTGAGGTGCGTGGGGGGCATCATACGTATCGGTGTTCCCTCCTCCACACAGCAGCCAGCCTCTGTCCATGGGGGAGAGTTGCTTGATCGCTCTCAGTGCTGCTCAGTGGACACCTCTCTCCACTGCTGGATGAGCTGCGCGATCACGCTTGTGCTGGTTCGCTGACAGCAGTTTCTCTCCCCTGCTGGATGAGCTGCATCAGCACGCTCCCTCTTTCTGTGTGGAGAACTCGAACGTCACACTAGGTGACGCCTCACTACCCTGCGAGTCTTGCCAACGTCAGTGGGTAGCGACGGGGCCACTTTGGCCTCTGTTCGCCGCCCCCTGCTCCGCAGCTCGCCGGCTGTCGACCTGTTGCTCTCGTTCCCGATTTGAACTGCTCCTGAACCGACTCACTGGTCGAACTCTCTCGCGTCCCGACCTCCTCCGAGTCGAACTGTCTCCCAAGAGTCGACCCCCCGGTCGAACTCTGGTGAGCCGACCCCCTCCGGTCGAATTCTGGTGAGCCAACCCCCCCCCGGTCGAACTCTGGTGAGCCGACCCCCTCCGGTCGAACTGAGGTTTTAATGCTCAGGATCCTCTTTTTATGCCCAAAAATCTCTTCACTCGGATCCTGCCCACAAGGCGGGGTTTCTTTCGATTTTTGCTGTGTCAGGATTTGTCCGTATGTATCTGCGTCCGTGTGTGTGTCCGTACGTGTGTCAGTGTGTGTCATTGTGTGCATCACCCACGGTATATTCCGTTGTCATACTCCTACCATAAAACCCACAAGTAAAACAATCAAATGTTATAACTTGTCTCGAAGGCGCCTCTCTGTCTGGGTGCACAACCTGGACGGAGCGGCGATATTCCCTCCGACTTTCACCGACGCACAAAGAAATGGTTCAAAAGTTTTAAGTTAACATTTCATTTCATCAGAGTTCCAAAGTTATGATTCTGTATTAATCCAAGGTCTGGATCAGCTTCCCGTTGTGGCGTTTGACTCGTGTTTCCCCGAGCGTATACACACTCCTACCCCGCGCTGCGGGGATACAAAGAGGGCCGCGATCTCCCTTTCTCTCCGATCCTGGGTTTAACATCGCCCTTTGCTTACGTTGCAGTTTTGCTGTGCGCTTGCATTTATTTTCCTCTCTACTCTTACTTTAACCCGGCTTATTATTTGTGTATGGGTGGATTAGAGCATTCATGTTGACTTAGGAAAACCTGATTGTTAGGCTTCGGGTCAAGTCATATGGAAATTCTTAAAATATGTAAATACATTTCATATTAAATTAATAGACGGGTGATGGTTACATTGACGTAGCTTGTGGCAGGGTTCAATTGAAGTGGGTGTGAAGATCAATAACTTTAGCCTACCCTGTCGTTAAATTCCGACTTTGAGTTACTTTAATAGTAATGCAGAACCAATTAGCTTTTTTGACTTAACTAGATCTAGGCTAACGCAACCTCCCAGTGACCCTGGCTTTGTGTTTACGTCAGCCCCTTGCAATCCGCTGCGCTCTGCTCTCTATCTGCTCCCTCTGACCCTGGGAGGGCTCTGAACGTCAAAATCGTGTTAGTGGGTCAAGGTCAATATGACCTCCACATGCCATGCTGAGGCCTGGTTTGGTGTTTTTATTCATTATTAAAATAAAAAAAAACAATAGAAATATGTATGTATATGTATTGAAAAATTACTTGTTAATATTAATATGGAAAGGGGGGCATATACAACACCACTCAACTTTCTCCAACATATCTAAAACTATTATATTTACGTGTTCAAGTATAGCTATCATAATTAGCGTCATTGTGCAGAATATATGCATCACAATAAGTAAACAGTACATCTTCATACATCTGTGCCTCTTCATAAAACATAAACAAAAATATTTTGAACACATTACATCAGCCATTCTGGCAGTTCATAATTTCAGCCGCATTGGTTTAATGCTAGCAAACTCTGGACCAGTTTCGACAGACAGTGTCTTATCAGCAGTCAGGCTTGCTTGAATTTTGAACTGCCAAATGAAACATGAGGATTTCTCCACAAATCTGGCTGTCACCTGATGATGCTAGTTGTAATTACTGGCGCAACGTCATACTCAGATTGTAAATGTTGTGAATTTACTCTCCAACACACCGATGTGCTGTACTAGTGTAGTGACTGTGATTGTCACTGTGTGGTGCCGGGCTTACGAAGCCATGGCGGATAATGTGTTGGCATTACGTGTAGCCCGCTTGCTGGACGTAGTACCAGCCCTAGCGGGGCTTGGGCGAGCGCTGGTCAGCGCGGAGGCACCACGTACAGTGTGCGGTGCGGGCTCCCGGTGAGGAAGCGAGAGAGAGTGTCAGCCAGCCAGAGTTACATTGGGGCATGATACGCCGGTTGACTTGCCGACACGTGACCGGATGATATTGGAGGGGGGCCACCAGTAGGGCTGCAGGGCGGTAACGTGGTATAGAAGAGCTCTCGGGGAGACTTCGGGAAAGAGCTCGAGAGATCTAGAAGGTGGGCGGGGCGATGGGCGGCGCCAGCCCCAGCCACAGGCCGATATAACGGGGGCCCCGTGAGGGAATTGGGTTGCTTCGTGTTGCTGGTGATGAAGATCCACGTCAGGTAAAAAGAAGCCTCTAGCCACGCCGTCCGGGACCCAGCTTGTGGTCCGGGCCGGGATAGTGAACCGTGTCTAGTTCTGCCGTAGCGTGGCTAGATGAGCATTCAACACCCAAGTGCACGGTGTGTTATGTTATGTTGATTTATTGAATAAATAGTGTTGCTCCCAAAACAACGTCTGCGACTCAGTTGGACTCACTACACTAGTAACGAAGTGTTGTTTACGTGACTACCCTTACTAATTGGCTGTGTCGGGTGGTGGTGGATTTAATGATACATTTATATTTACGTGATCTAACCCAAAAAAAACCTGTATTATGGATGATATAGGTCCCAAAAACCTACGTGTTAAACTGCCAGATGTTGATTATTATAACGCCATCCTTTCTCGAATTCCAGCAAAGCACCTTAAACTACAGCGGTTTCAAAACGACCTGTCACGCACCGACCTCAGCATTAGGTGTAGTCATAAGGCTTCCATGGCTATGCTACATTAGCTGGCACTGGATACCGATCAAATAAAGGACCCAGTACAAAAATCGCTATCAAGGTCTCCTGCCACACCTCTCCACCCTTCTCACTCAAACCACCACAGCAAACCTACGCGTCCTACGGGGTACATCTAACAACTTATTTATTACACCTGTAGAGTTTGTTCGGGGACACGGTCAGAATTGAGTGTAGGGGTCATGAAAATAATAAGGGTCCACCCCGAGAGAAATAACTGAAGAATGGCACTGGCAAGGAAAGGTGGGGGAAATGGGGAATGGGGGATAAACACAGATTGGCACGGAAGAAGGAGAGAAGGGCGTAGGTTAGATAACGTGGTGGAAGACAGAGCCGGAGGGCTCCGGGAAAGAAATGACTGGTCGTCAACAACAGTGTTCGTGCCCTACAAATGTTCTTGTCGATGTTTATGGAACAATAATGTTCCCTTAGCAGGACGACTCGTGTGGACTCGCTTTCACACCCAGAACCAGGGACTGTTTGGCTGAGCGACGTTTTTCCGTAGCTGCACCATCAGCCATCTGGAACTTTTTCCCACTGCACACACGCAGCAACAGCATCCAAGCACCATTCATCCTCAGGAGACAGCTCAAGGCTCTCTCATGTTCATTCCGGCGTATGAAGGACTCCTGGAGTTCTGGTTCCATGCCTCCGAGTTCTCAATATAATATTTTGCTTTCGATTCACGAAATAAGTGCGGGTAAAACATAGTTTTTGAATTATAGGCAAGTATGCTGAAATTATGCACTCCCATGAGGCCTTATGGCTGAATGAATTTGCAAAAAAAATACTTCATGTTGTATGTAGAGGGATAGATTTGAAAGACATAGCTTATAATAATTTAAACAAATTAATCTAGAAAAGCTGACCAGGCCAATGAATAGGCAGTACTCATTTTATTTACACCCTCACCTCTTATTGGAAAATAATTTCAAGCTTGTAGAGTGTTGCGCAATTCAACTGGTTAGAAAGTAGACTTTTTTATCAAGTCAAAGTCCAGCGTTTCTTGTTTGTTAACCAAAGGGAGCACACCTACTGAACGGTGCGCTGTGTAACGTGTTCACAGCGTAGCTGCATTCGTGGTTTTTTGATAGTTTATAACATTTCTGTCACGCTCCTCTTAATTGGACTCATTGCCTTCTCTGCTTCCGAATGAGCACAATTTCTGCAAAGCAGTGTCCCCGAAATCAAGATTTGCTACCTCGTCCGAGCATTTAAGTTACTTTACAGAAAAACAATAAGCAGTAAGTACGAAAAGTATTTTTTGAATATTTAAGCCAAGTACCTGGATTAATGCTGCGTTGTTGTTGGATATATTGTTTATAACAAACAAGAACATTCAGTTATTAAACTGGTGAGGACCCAGCATCTGTTTAGTCTATGACAGATATCTAAAATGTAGTTCTTGTGGGGAGTTGAACATTGTTGGAATGTTTGAATGGGTTATTTTTGTTGTAAACCGTTTTGTTATGATTGCTTCATAGCAGTTATAAATCCGTGTGGTTTTTCTTAGATGAAGGCATTTTCTCAAGTTGGGTCTTCCTGATAAAAATGTTTTATTGCCTCGGCTGCAATCATTTTTCATTTCCAAATTCATCGAGATTATTGCACATCATTTATACACTATAATAATATGTTTACATTGGATCTACTAACGTGGTGCTAACGTTAAAAAAACCGCCACTTTTTCATATTTTCTTGCTGTGGTTTTCACACCTGATGATGATTGCTTGTGTTGCAGTCGAAACGTCGTGAGAATTTTAGTGTTTTATATTTTTATTATTTTATTGTTTCCCTTCTACGTGACTTTACCGAAAGAACCAAGAATATGAATCCCTGCAGTCACGAAAGCTTGAAATCAAAAGTATATAGGCCGTTAAGATGTATCGTTGCACCCTTTAAGTTGCTGTTCCAACAGTACGTACAAGTGCTAGAAGTTCGCTTTTTGTCTACATGTCATTATCCTCGGACCAGATTCTCCATTGTAGTAACTGTAGTTGATGGTCTGAATTTGATTCAGCATGTTATTTGACCAAATTCCAGCACATGAGAATTAAAATTTCGGTTAGACTGTCATGCGATTACCATTACGCTCGTATGCAGAGCGGATGGATAAAGTGCTGTCCCCTATTCTGCGCACCAGTGGTCACTTAAACATATCTCAGGCGTAGCTCTGTGATAGTTGCTTCTGCAGGCCATTCTCTAACAAAGGCTTGCACTTCTCCGTAAGATCTCCGAATGTACTCTTCACCTGACGGCATGAAGCCGATATCAAAATCAGCATAAAACTGTTTGGGGAAATCTATTCTTTTGTCATGGTTGAAAGAGCAGACTACAATTGGAAATGTGGCTCTTGCAAAAGCATAGAATTTCGCATGAAATAACGCGAGGATATATGGCATGACTAATCTTTTTTGAGACCCTTGTGCAATACTCAACTGCATGTGTAACACTAATGGCCTTCATCCTCTGCACTTCATGAATGTCTAAATTGTTTTAAAATATCACATTTAAAATGTATGTTGCAAAAAATATGCCATCATGATATGTTATATTTTACAGAATTAATTCATAAAACTGCAATGGATACTATATTTTGGAAATTTGAACAAAAAACACATAAATTTCGATTTAAAGCTTTCGTGACTGCAATGATTCATCTTCTTTGGTTCTTTCGGTAAAGTCACGTAGAATGAGAATAAAATAATAAATTGATAAAATAAAATAACACAATAATATTCTGTCCTACCAGACAGTCTCGCTCCCTTCACCTGATGAAGGCCGCTTGTGTTGTGGCCGAAACGTCGTGAGAATATTATTGTGTTATTTTATTTTATCAATTTATTATTTTATTCTCATTCTACGTGACTTTACCGAAAGAACCAAAGAAGAAAAAACACATACTTTGAATATCAATAAATATAATGTATACTGTTTCAAGATAAGAAATGCAGTTCTCTCATATATATTCAGTTGTCTTTAAACAAATCCATCATAGCCGAATAAATTATATCTGAATTTTATTCTGAGCTTTTGAATCCTTAATTGAATCAGATGAACACAAATCTTTATCAATGGAATTTTAAAAAGTGCAAAAAAAACCCGAAATGGCAATGCACAAACTTGTATTCGTATTTGCAGAGGACATAACTTTGAATATGTTAATTATAATTTGTTTATATAATGTAGGAATCTAATGTGATAACTCGTATCGGCTTCAAAGACACGCAGAAAGTAAAAAATAGCTGCAAAATGACAAATCATAACATCCATAATGAATATTTTATAATGCTTGGTTCTGACATGTCATGCTACACATCGCTTAATTTTTAACTAAATATTAACTTTGATTAATTCAATCTTGATTTGAAGCTTTCGTGACTGCAGGAATCCATACTTTTTGGTTCTTTCGGTAAAGTCACGTAGGTAGAAAAAAATAATAAATCACGACGTTTCGATCGCAACGCAAGCGGCCGTCTTCACCTGAAGTCGTTGTTGTCACCTGAAGACGGTCGCTTGTTGTTGCGATCGAAACGTCGTGATCTATTATTATTATTTTATACCTACGTGACTTTACCGAAAGGACCAAAGAGTTTTGATTCATTCATTATGTTGCCAACATCTGTTATTTTACCACAGATGGTCAGTTTACATTTGTAAAGGCATAACATTCTGGAAAAAAGGAAAAAACTTACAATGGTGATTTTTGTATGTATAAATTAGGGAGCCATTACAAATTTTGTCTGTTGTTCAAGTTAATATTTTACATAGTTACAATACGTTATCCATATAGCATATAGATAAACGTCCAACAACTCAATCTTGTGCAACCTGTCTCGTTAGAAAGACAGAAAGAGACCAATATAAGATAAACTATTGTCCATAGGTGATAAAATGCAAAATTGCCACGTAGCAATCCAGTTCCAAATCGTTTTTTGTGAAACATTACGTAAATTGTTAATGAAATAAAGATTCACTGCCAATTTTTCACAAAGAATTTACACAACAGTATATACTATTATCTGTACTCCTTAACTTGTAGACCTTTTGTTTCGTGTCTACATATAGCATTCCAATAAGTAGTGTGTGTGTGTGATTGCCTCGTGTTTAAATGTGTAATATAAATGTCATGTATGTAATGCGCGTTGTGGAACTGTGTACCACAGATTTAGGCTTAAAACACTAAATTTACAGGCTGTACATCTCTGCCCAAAAATGCATACGATTTGGAACGCAGATTTGGATTTATAAACTCTGAGAAAACTGCTCTCTGAGAAAAGTGCCACAGAAAATCTAATTAAAATCAAAATTTGGCTTCATCCTATCTGTAGTCCTTAAAGTTATCACAATTTCTACCTTAAATATTAACCAATGAAAAAAACAAATAAGACAATAGCTAAACCACGACTGTATTTCGATCAATTGTGTATTGTTTTTGCCAGGCCATGCGGTGGTGTTTCAGCTTTGCTCAAACCCTCGCCTTCATGCACATGGCCGTGGGCCAGGAGAAATCTGACAGTGACCGTGCTGTGGGTGGCATGCTGGTGTACCCAACTGATGGCAGCCACTGGATGAGCCTGCGTGACCTGTCCCTCGCCGTGTCTCGGCGTGGTCACAGAGTGGTCGTGGCATTGCCCGCGACCGGTAATCTGATGGTGGGGGAGACGCCTGGGCTAGACTCGGAGACCTTCCCTGTGCCCCTTGTTGATAAACATAACTTGTTAGACACGTTTTTACGAGAAGTGGTATTTAGAGAAACGGATGGCGTTACAGAATTCACCTTTAAGAGCTTGGAGAGCATGAATAAGAGGTTTGCAGCAATGTGTGACAGCTTACTCGGCAATGTTGCTGTGATGCAGCGACTTCGTGCCCATAACTTCGAGGTTCTTCTCGCTGACCCAATTGATCCATGTGGAGCGATTTTATCTGATGCACTGGGGCTCCCGTCAATATTTCTTATGCGTGGTATTCCATGCAATATCGACTTAAAAGCTGCCCACTGCCCAGCACCATCGTCGTACGTTCCCCAAAGTATGTCAGGCTTCACAGACCACATGAGTTTCACCGAGCGGGTCACCAACATGTTTATGGGTTTAAAGCAGGATCACCTGTGTATTGACTTCCTTCTGAAACGCTTTGATGAGCTGGCCAGGCGCCATCTGGGTCGGGACGTCACGGCCATGGAGCTGCTTAGCAATGCGTCCATCTGGCTGCACCGGACAGACTTTGTCTTTGACTATCCCCGCCCGACTATGCCCAACATGGTGAACGTCGGAGGTATGACATCCGATGATGCGAGACCTCTTCCACAGGTAAAAAGTTACTGTCAATTTGCACTCTTTACCTGCATTTGTTGAAACTATTAAGAATTAGAATTATGATCTTCTGATGATATGGATAACATAACTTAAATAACTTTGGGCACAGCTTGAAGGGTTAATTTTCTGAAGATAAAAAAAATACGTGGTGAGGGAAAGACGAATATTTAATTAATTCTAGCTCATGCTAGCCAAACTGGGTTTAGCATTTAAACCTGCATGTAAATGTAATGTGATGACAGGTAAGACAACTTGTTTTAATTACATGTTTACACACTGGAGAATATGATTTGACACCCCGATGGCCAATGCAAAACGCCTAATTAATCCATTTGGGCGCGTTTTTATTCTGCAGGATTTAGAGGAGTTTATGCAGAGTTCTGAGGAGCATGGTGTGGTCGTGGTGTCATTTGGATCCATAGTGTCGGCCATTCCTTATAGAATAGCAAACGTTCTTGCAGAGGGCCTGGGCAGAATCCCACAAAAGGTAATAAGGAAATTACGCATCACATGTACAGTAGATATCTGAAGTAATATGTGGTCCTCTCTCGTGGCTTCTAAACATATGAATCCAACTCCACTTTGACAAAATACATGTTGCATGATTTATGATACCTTGTGCAATCTATATAGAAAAGTAATCTTTGTTCGAACTGCTTTTTGTGTTTAGTGTGTTGTCCTTCCCCCACACAACCGATCAGTGCGGGTGGCTACGTACGGTTGCAAAAGAAGTTCAACATGCATACATATATGTCAGTATTTTTTTTACTGATGGCTGTTGGAAGATGGTGGCATAAATGTCTCTCTCAGGGTCTGGAAAATAAATATAACCGTTTCTGTTACATATTGTATGGAAGGAGTTGATGCAGAACACGAGCGAAATCCCAAGGGGGCCTTCAGCCACATGCAGTGGTCACCCACGCGTTCTGTTCGGCACAACACTTAGGAAACAAATACAATTTTATACAACTCGGCGGCTCAGAGGTCAGAAGAAGCATTGCCTCAAATAATGTATAACTCAATCCTAAAACAATTGCTTTATTGCCTTAATTATAATGCAATTCAGATAATAATTTATGTTGAGCTGTGTAATATGTAACCTATGGTGCAAACCAGTCTACACATTACGATTTCCTGAGTTACTTTTAAAGTTATCTTTTTATGCGTTTTTTTTGTAATACTATGTTTGGCTCTTAGCCACAGCATTTGCATCAGGGGGACATGGGCTGGCCTTACCAGCCAGCCACACACATTATTAATACGCAAGACTGTCAGATATATCTGTCTGCTGGCCAGATCCCGTATGGGTATGGTTTGCTGACATTCCATCGAGGTGAAAGATGCAGAGTAGTCCACCAGAGTGTTGACATACGTCCCGTAATTGTGTATAGCCTAGAGAGCACACATGGACAGAGAATTTCAATATAACTATGATTTTAAAAAATCTCCTACCTTCTCACCCATCGTCTTTCCTTACTCTTGCAGCAGTGGATCAAGCTCAACCGGTATGCAATGCTTTTTAAACATATGCACACTGAATATAGTTAGGTCCGTTTATGAAATGGAACGTATTTGGGTCAATTGGGCGAGTACACGGAAAGATGATAGTTTCCTCATCATTATCATGATCACCACGATCCATGGGCAGATCGTCCGTAGGTGTCCACTGCATATTTCGATAGCTTCTTACCCATCACCAATAATCATAAAGGATGTGTATGTTCTGTGTTACCATGTAAGTTGATTACATGGAAGACGATCCTGTGACGTGACAACTAGTGTCTCGTTTATTGGTGAATATTCTGTCGATTAATTTGTGCTTTACTCCAAAGGTTATATGGCGCTATGAAGGACCAACTCTCGAAAATCTCTCGAACAACACAAAAGTGATGTCATGGTTACCACAGAGGGACCTCTTAGGTGCGTGTTGCAATATCTGTATTCAGCTTTTGTCTAATTGCATCCGTCAGTGTCGGCTCCGAGTGCCAAGGTACACAGCCAACGTGTATCATCACTTCCTCTGAGCACTGCACATGTTCACATGCTATTCCCCATTCTGAGCTGTGTCTACTCCTTGATGTCATCCCACCATGTTCATCTACACATTTATCTTGCCCTTTTGCCTGAGATTTTCCCAAGAAGAAGGCAGTCATAGGACTCCATGTGAGCCTCGCATTAATTGTCCGCAGCATGCCACCTTCCTCTGGCTAAATCCACCAACATCATTTGGCATCACCGTTATTGTTAACACTTCTTTGTTCATCGTTTCTCGTCCTACATCCTGTTGCCAATGTCCTTCTATGAAAGGGCACATTTCAAAACGTGTCTTTCCTCCGAACGGTGCCCTTTCAAGTGTCCAGCTCTCGTATTCATACGGTCCTATCGACCACACGGAGCACTTGAGGCATTGAGGCCAAGCGTTCATGCTCAGTTCTCAGTCGGTGAGCATGGTCGGCTGTTGAAGGCTGCCTTTGCCATTTACATTCTCTTAATATTCTCTTTTGGTACCAACGTCCACATTCCGGAAATGTTCTGCATGCAGTTACCTCCGTTTTTCAATAGAGATCGCAATACATCTATCATAACAATACGCATGCTGCATTTTCAATTTTCAACGTTTTGCATTTATTTTGGTTAAGTTTAATTCATTACATTTTATATTAGCTTTTGCTTTTCAGTTAGTTTTTTCTTCTCTTCAGAATAAAGTATTACTATTTTTAGTTCCACTTGCAGTTTTTGAGGATATTTTATTTTTGGACAGCCTCAATAAGAAATATACAGTAGTATAAGCTAGAGGAATGCCCTGGCCATGTCAAAGCACGAGACGGTTACTACTCCGTGTAGCTATAGCTCAGAGCATCCAACTCGAACGTCAGGTGTGGTTACAGCTCCGAATCACACTTAAGCTCACGTGCCATCACAAACTGAGAAAAACGGGTTTGTATAACATCTAAAATCATGATTTTGACCAAAGCCACTGTATGTTCCAGTTCCAAAGCTATGTAACACGCACAACATAAATGAACAAAGCGTTCAAAGAAGCATCCAAATGTGTGTTGTATGTTTTACTTCTTTCGCACCGTACATCGCCAACCGTGCTAATCGAAGGTTGTCCCTGTCTGGCTGTGATGGTGCCGGTGGATGACAGCCCACGCTAAGACTCGTGTATTCGTGACGCACGGGGGATCGCACGGCATCTTCGAGGCCATCTGCTACGGCGTCCCCATGCTCGGCCTGCCACTCTTCGGGGACCAGTTCGAAAACTTGGCTCGCATGCAAAGCAAGGGTGCCGCACTGGTGCTCAACATTCACTCCCTCGACGCTGGCTCTCTCGCCTCGTCCATCTCCACAATCGCCACACACAAGAGGTACGGTGGTGGGGCGCTGCGTCTCAAGCGATTGGCTGACAATATTGCACCGGTGGGGAGCTTGTGTAGAAAAAGCGTGCAGTTCCATAGCACTCTGCCATTCCACGCTCTTATATTTTCTAAACGTGTTTTGAAGTTTGCATTGTCGCATACAAATAGTGTCAGTGACATATATGATGTTGGCTAACTATCAGGGTTTAAACTTGGAATAAATTATGCATTTTTTTGTTGTTATAAAATGTATCACCAGCCACGTGAATAGGCGATTCAAAGCATGCACCAAAACTGTCACGTTTAACAAGTGTCCATAAACGTACATTTTGTTCAACTTGTGGCAGCGGACCACTCTCTCAGTGTGACAGCAGTTGCTGGGTGGGTCTTTACCGTCATGCGAATTGGATGATACTGCAGCCTTTGCCGTGTCTGATTTTCTTAGCAGCTACAAGGAGAAGGCATCACTGCTCTCGCGTCTGCACCACGATCACCCGCAGAAGCCCATGGACAGGGCAGTGTTCTGGGTGGAGTTTGTGATGCGGCACGGTGCGGAGCACCTGCGAGTGGCGGCTCACCACCTCACCTGGTACCAGGAGGCCGGCTTTGATGTGGCGGCGTTTCTGCTGGCAGCCATAGTCCTGGTGACAAGCGTGTTCATTGCGCTCATCACGATCTGCTGTCGCTGGCTATGTAGGGCCAAACATCGTAACGCCACTGTAAGCAAAGGAATGGCAGCCTCTAAAAAACACAAGTAATTGTTATGTTTAATCCGATTTTTTAAACAGCCACGCATGCTTAATTCGGACAGTGGGGCAGCTTTTTGGAAAATTCCCTTCAAACCATTTAATAGAGAATGCTCTTTTGGAAAAATGATACGAGATGATTTGCTGATTAAAATTTAATGTTGTGATTTGACTTTTTTATTTTAAAGAAAGTTATACAAAACTTAAGACGATTTGTATAAAGTCAATTGAGTGGTCGCAAAGCATAATACCAGTGGCCCTGTTAATCAGGTGATAACATTGCCCAGATCAGACATGGTCACACCAGAACAATAACGATTGACTCTTTAATGAAGGATAAGCAGACAATAGTCTCCTTCATATATCTGTCTCTCCACAAAAACAAAATAGAGGAGAAAGTATTGTCTTGAATGAAACATTGTCTGCTTTTCTATTTTGTTACTTTAATTCCCCACACCAACGTGAATGATTGTTTTGTCTTCAATAAAGGGGCCTTCACAGCCAATGCCGTTACTCGATTGTGCACGTGAATACACGATCCTTGCACCTGAGATCATCGTGACATCGCACTTTTGATTTGTTTCACACATAGGAACACACGTGGCGCAATAATCATAGGATTTAGAAAATGCATGCAAATCAAACCTTCCCACTACATTTTATACACTAAAGAAAGCAATGGGGCCCGGAAAACTAGTGGGAGTATCCAAGTCACAGTATACTGTACTCCAAGCCTTAAATGTTTGTTGCGTGGAAATCTATCCGAGGCAATTAGAAGGACCGTGAACCCCCCTCGTGGAAACACCGGACCCATATGCCCTGACCGCAATGAAGCACCGCAGTTACAAATTAAAAGGCAAGGCACGGGAATTCGAGGCGGTATGGGGCCATCATTTCTCAACAACCCCGTCTAGCACAAGCTACTGAATTGTACCATGGTGTAAACTTGAATTGAGAAGGAATGGCGAGGAAGTGGGGAGGTGGGCTCTAGGTTTCATTGTACCCTCAGTATATCTTACGTGGGTGAGAGCTGATCTCGTCAAGGAGCATAAACCATCACGCGAACTCCGGTCACACTTGCAGAGGCTTTTGGTTAGCCATCAAACAAATATGGTCACTGCATCGCGTGAATTCATATGCACTTCTGCGGCCGTCTGGAACGCTCTTCTGATTTTAGGAAGCCACTGGAGATATGCACTTGTAAATCTTGATTGAAAACTCATTTCTTTAGACCTGCTTTGTGTTTAGTTTGTTGTCCTTTCCCCCGCACCTCTGATTAGCACGGTTGGCTATGTACGGCGCGAAAGAAGTTCAACATACATAGAGGAGAGTGGGTGTGTGGGTGTGGGTCCATTTTTTCCTTTCTTTTATTTTGTTTGTTATCTTTTTCCTACCCCCATGCTCCTATTCCCCACCTTAGTTAGAACTTGCACCTTCTCTATACCTTAATAAGCTCCTGTCAGGGAGTGAAGCCAACACAGGGGGCGCAATCTCCAGACCTACCAACCCTACTTTGAATATGGGCGTGTCCTTTGTTGTGACTGTATCAAACGGGTTCTATTAAAAAAGTGATCCTTCGTTGTGTGAGCCACAGTACAGATTGGTCACTTTGGCCATGAGTACATGGCCACGGTTGCATGGGTGGTTTCCCTCAGAGTGTAGGCGCTGCTTCCAGGCTGGCAAGGCCGGTGGTGTCTCAATGTCCGGTCTGGCAGGCTAGGGGGCAGCGCTTTGGAGGCTGGTATAGGGGCAGAAAATTCCTGCTGGAGAGAACTGTGGAGCTGCTATTGGTGTGGATGCAATATTAATCCAACACAATACACAACATAACAAACACAGCAACAACTACAACACAATATGATAACGTATGAAATAAAACAGAGAAAAAAAACGAATAACAAAATTACGGTATTGTTTGGATGATTGCAGTGACAAAATATATGTATTTCTGTGCACAACATTATATGGCTAAGTGCCGGTGTACTGGCCCGTTTGGTCTTGTTTAGCCTCCTGGATGCTTAAACATGGCTCTTCAGACTGGAACTGAACAGATGCAGCTGCAATCTGGACAAACGGCGTAGGCTATCAACTCAAGTGTGACGTATCGAAAGTATTTGTATGAAATGGCAGAGCTCCACTGGGGGGTGTATTAGGTAGAGAAATGGTCCCAGAAGATAAATGACATTCAATGTTCATTCTGTATGATAGGAAGTGAAATGGTTCGATAGAGGCGCACGCACTGATATGGTAAGGCAACACTATTTATTAACACAACGTGGAATCACACTACACATAGGGTGGCGACCACCGACCTATCCTTGCTAACAATGACACTCTGGTAACAAGTGGCGTGGCCAAGCCAGGAGGGCTACTGCTTGGCGACGCTGACTTGAGGCTTGGCATCACTCTTCATGAGGCGTCTTCATGAGGCGTCTTCATCCCGGACCCGATCATCCACGCACCAGGTGCGGAGCCTGCTTATATGCGCCTCGGCGTGGCCAGGCCACACCCAGGCCACGCCCACCTTCGAGAACCCTCGAGAAGGCTCTGCTTCTGGCCACGTGGCCTCCAAGGTCCCCCCCCGGGGCCCCCGGCCCCCACCTTGATCCGGTCACGTGTCCGGCCGGGTTCATACAGATTGCCACGGCCTCACACAACCCCCGTGGTACAGACCGACGGCCTCCTGGCTCCCCGACCCGGCCGTGACGTCATTCCCACATCCACACGTAGTGACGTCATGTGTGTCTACAGACCCACACGGTAGTGACGTTACAAGTCACTACAAAAGTATTTATCTGGCAAGCTACTGTGTGTGTGGTTGTGTGTGTGTGAGAAACGTTTATTTATTTTCCTTCAGTAATCATTGCACTTTTTTCCCCTTGATGTGGCTTGTGTTAGCTGATGTGTGACAAGTAAAGTTTTAAATTTTGATTTAAAGCTTTCGTGACTGCAGTAATTCATATTCTTAGTTTTTTTCGGTAAAGTCACGTTGAAGGGAAACAACAAAATAATAAAATATATATAAAACAATAAAAAAAATTCTCACGACGTTTCCACCATAACTCAAACGGTCGTCTTCAGGTGTGTTGGTTTGCATAAATTTATTTTTAAACGGCGCATTTATTTATTTATAAAAAACGTTAGCGCCACGCGCAACGATTTGGCAGTTTATTTAGGACTAGTCCATCTATATTCTGAAAAGGGGAAGGGGGAGACAAATTTTTTTATAATGTATGCTGTCTGAAAGCCACTGTAAGCGTGAACAATCAATTAAGACCTGAAATGGTCTATCAAATCTTTCCAATGATTGCTAAGATAGAATCCATCTTCTCGGTTGAAATTGTCTCTGTGCTTGTATACGTGGATAGCCTCATGAACGAATCTCTCATGGAAGCCAGATGGCTTACAAAGAACCTCTGTCTTGGAAAAGTCAATGTCATGTGAGCCTACTGAATTAGAACTATGATCTGCCACGGCCGAGGTGTTGGTCCTACCGTGTTTAAGGTCTGCTTTGTGTTCACGAATGCGGTCCGAGACATGGCGTTTGGTTTCTCCAATGTAACTACTACCACAGAGGCAACTTAGTTTGTAGACACCAGGGTATTGTATGTCCGGAATCACATATTTTGTAGATGGAACCAGATCACGGATTTTATGTAATGTGTTGAAACGGACCTGGATCTTGTGTTTATTCAAGATTTTGGAGATATTTTTTGTGATCCCCGCAATGTAGGGTAAAGTGATGGTTTTGAAAGGCTCCTCAAGAGGGTTCTTCTTCATGGTTTGAGTGATAGCTTTGCGGATTGTATAGTCGGAGTAACCATTAGCCTCAGCAAAGATTAGCGTTTTGAATTATACAAATTAAAAAAGAGGGATGATATTGTAGTCCTCTCAGCTGACAAGGGCAATGCTACTGTCATCATGGATAAAATAGAATACAACAACAAAATTAAAGAATTACTCGACGATGGTAGTTATACAAAAATTAAAAGAGATCCCACCAACAGCCTCGTCACACAAACCAACAAAATAATTTCTGATTCAACCGCATTAATTGATCAATCCAAACAGTTTTCGTTGAAACCTTCTGCTGCCAGGCCACCAAGATTATACGGCTTACCAAAAATACATAAAGTAGATACACCCCTTCGTCCCATCGTCTCTACTATCAACTCCCCCATCTACAAACTGGCTCGTTTTTTGTCTGAAATCCTGCGTCTTTTCACTAGAAAAACCACCTCTGCGGTACAAAATTCTACTCACCTGGTATCGACAATCAAGGGTATTTCCCTGTCCCCAGACGACCTGCTTGTCAGTTTTGATGTAGTTTCCTTATTCAGCAAGGTTCCTGTTCCTGACACCATCGCAATCATTGAAGACTTGGTTCATCAAGGACTAAACACTGAGGTACCCCCCCCCCCCCCCTAGTGAGACACTGTTTAACCAATACATACTTCACTTGGAATGGAACTTTCTACAAACAAACTGAGGGCACCCCGATGGGCTCCCCCCTATCTCCGGTTATAGCTAACATTTTCATGGAGAAATTTGAGACTGACGCCATCCAGACTGCCACTCTGCGCCCAACCTTATGGAAGAGGTACGTGGATGACACTTTTGTCATCTGGCCACATGGCCGGCCTGCTCTAGACCAATTCTTCGACCACATCAATTCCATACACCCAGCCATCAGATTTACCATGGAAGTCGAAAAAGATGGCAAGCTACCTTTTTTGGATGTCCTAATAAAAAAGAGACCTGATGGTTCAATGAGCCACTCTGTCTACAGGAAAGCTACCCATACAGATGCTTATCTGAAACCAGATTCCCACCACCATCCATCACAGAAGAATTCTCTCATCAAGACTCTGTATTATAGAGCCCAATGCATATCCGACAAGGAACACATAGGCAGTGAACTCAAGCACGTACACCAAGCTCTTAAGGCTAATGGTTACTCCGACTATACAATCCGCAAAGCTATCACTCAAACCATGAAGAAGGACCCTCTTGAGGAGCCTTTCAAAACCATCACTTCATCCTACATTGCGGGGATCACAAAAAAGATCTCCAAAATCTTGAATAAACACAAGATCCAAGTCTGTTTCAACACATTACATAAATTCCGTGATCTGGTTCCGTCTGCAAAATATGTAATTCCGGACATACAGTACCCTGGTGTCTACAAACTAAGTTGTCTCTGTGGTAGAAGTTACATTGGAGAAACCAAACGCCATGTCTCGGACCGCATTCGTGAACACAAAGCAGACCTTAAACACGGTAGGACCAACACCTCGGCCGTGGCAGATCATTGTTATAATTCAGTAGGCTCACATGACATTGACTTTTCCAAGACAGAGGTTCTTTGTAAGCCATCTGGCTTCCATGAGAGATTCGTTCATGAGGCTATCCACATATACAAGCACAGAGACAATTTCAACCGAGAAGATGGATTCTGGCTTAGCAGTCATTGGAAAGATTTGATAAACCATTTCAGGTCTTAATTGATTG